TGCTGAACCACACGTTTGGGGTTATTACAGTGTATTTATTTCTTATAATAGTGTTACATTAATTAAGCGGAATGCATTGTTGCATGCATATAAGCATCAATTTTTCCAGATATATAGCCATGTAGAAAAAGACCAAACAAATTACAAATACAACAATATATTCATGCACATAAGAATCTATAAAAGGAGTGAGACCAAAACCCTTTGCCCCTCCCTCATATTTTTGGGCACTATTTTATCATTTTATATATACAATTTCAAAAATTATTTTATCACTTTATTAATTTTATGTACGTTTTTAACTACCAGTACAAATTTAAATACTGAAGTGGTGGTTAACTCCTTTTTTAATTGTTATAGAGGACATAAAAGAAAAATATGAATGCCAAAATAATTGTACCATTTAACATTATTCATAAGTTGAAGAAATATAGACCAAAAGTGAAGCTGGGGTGGATATCTATTTACTTTCTACAGGTAGCATTCAATGTGCACTTATATACCAACCAAATTAATTGTTTGGTGCTAATTAGAAATGTTTCCGACACATTAGCCAGTAACCTATGAAGTGGATGAAGTACTAAATTGGTCAAAAGAAATTAAAAGAAATTAAAAGAAATTAAATTTTGAGCTGAGACTTCGGTGCAGTGATTATACCTAATTGCCATAATATTTAGTTGGTTAAGGTTTTTTTTTTCTTTCCCCTTTTTATTTCAACTTTACAAATAATATGTAAAAAATAAATTTGTTTTAGTCACAGTAAAATGAGTAAGTTTTAATTTTAGTCTAGAAATTATTTTTTTTTATTTTTATTCTTCAAAAACTTGTAAACATTATTTTTTATTTCTTGAAAAATATTTATAGTTCTTTTTAAACTAATAGACTTTTTTTATATCCTTGAAAGTATTTTTTTTGGCTAAATTGAATTTTTTATTTTGTTATTTTCATTCATATGCAGTTTTGGTTTCCCAATTTTAGAATAGAGACATTTAGTATCTTTAATTTTAAAAATACAAAATTTTAATTCTCTTATCAAATTGCACTTATACTTATACAAAATTGGTATATGTTAATTGTTAAATTTCAAGGTTTACTTATACTTAAATGATGGAAACTTTAGTAACATGACATTTGAAGATAAAAAAACTAAAAAAGATACATAAAACTAAGACATTAATAAAATAAGTACCTATCACTTGTTAAAATAAATACAAATGAAATTTTTTTGTAAGTTATTTTTTTTTTAATTTTTATCTTTACATGTTATTATATCATTAAATATTGTGTCATGTAAGTTGTGACATGTCACCAAACAACGTTAAAATTTAATGATTCACGATTATCAAATTGATAATAGACAAAATTTTATATTTTTTTTAATAAATATCTTTATTTTAAAATAAGAAGATTAAAATTATATATTAAAAAGTATAGGGATAAAAGTGTAATTTAACTTTTTTTATATTCATATATATTTTTAGTTTTATCATTCCAAAATTTAAAATCATTAATTCTTATCTTAACGATAATTTTAAAATAGATATAAAACATTTAATTTAAGAAATTATAAATTTTTGTTAAAAGTATTACACACTGGATAAAATCATTTGACTTTTAAAAAATAAGTAGTTAAAATATAAAACAACATTTCTAAATTTTAGAAGATAAAAAATTAATTTTTATAAATAATAAAATTAAAACTTGTTCATTTTATAACTAAAGTCATATTTTAAAAAAAGAAAAATAATAACCAAATACAGTGCCACTGGTTATTATATCATTGGCTAACACTAAATTGTTTTCATCCATAAACATTGACTTTAAACTTGACACTAATAACGTCGCTTTATTACGCAAATTAATTAGAGTTTGCCACTTAGACTCTAACATTAGCGTTAGCCTTTTTAATTTGGTTTTAGCTTATACTTTTGTGTCGGTTAAAGTCCCATGAACTCAAAAGCCAACGAAGCTGTATTTAGCATTGATTTTTGCAGGCTGATGCTAAATGGAAATTTTGATATTCTTCACAAACTTTGAAAAAACTTTTATCAAATTAAAAGCGAAAAAAGCTTGTCATTAAATGGATATTTACTTGGAAGTGATCACAATTATAATTTCTTTTATTACATATAATTTTTCATGCAATTTTTACATAAAATTTTTGTAAGAAAATAGTTCTTATAATTTATTTTTTTTACACCTTTAATATATGATTTATAACTTCTTAAATTCTTAGAATGTAGGTAAAGGTTAAACTCAATTTTACAAAATTCATTTGTAAGGTAAATATTGTCTTCACTTATATAATATTTAGTTGTCTTATCTCTAATCAATGTAAGACTTAAAATTTTCTTAAATATTAATTAGACTATATTATTAAAAAAAAAAATCAATTCATTATATTGAACTACAAAATTATATTATTATAAATTATAATAATTCTTAAAATATTTAATATTTTAAAAAATATTATTAAATAGTTTCATTTTCAAAGCTATCAATAAATTAAAAGTCATTATTATTAATTTATACATTTAATTAAAATAAATGTTTAGTTTACTAATATTTTAAATTATAATTAATTTTGATGAAATATTTATAAATAATTTAGTAAAATAATATTTTGTTTAGTAAATATTTTGAATTTTTAAATTTTATAAATTATCATTAAATTGAAATTCATAATCATTAATTTTTAAACTCATAAATTTAAACAGCTTATTTTTATTTTTTTATTTTTTATTTTACTTGCAGATTAAAATTCAGAAGAAAAGTTACCTTCGGATTTTTTCTATCATTTATTATAATACTAATAAATATTATTTTTAAATTTATTTTTACAAGAAAATTTACAATAAAAAAAAGAAAATTTTTACAACATTTTCTGCAAAGGGTAAAATTAAAAGAGCATATTAATTTTATTGAGAATCTGAGACAAAGGAATTACTTAGTACTTCCCACTATTGTAATTTTATGCAAAATGGAAGTTAATTTCTGACTTCCTCTAATTTTGTAATTCCCCAATTAGATGTTGAGGAATATGAAATGAAATCACAATTACAATAAATAATGAAAAGCAGCGAGGGACGACAAGATGAAACTAGCATGCAAAAGGTCATTAGAAAGTGCATAGATTTGTTGGCATATATCTTCATGTGTTGATAGCATCCAAAGCTAAGATGGTGCTGAGGTTCATTGGGTTCATGTAGGTTCTAGAGCCTGACATGATTTCCTCCGCAATGAGCCTGTTGGCCTTTTCAGAAGGATGGAATGCATCCCAAAATGCATACAAGTCTCTGTTAGGACAAAGGTTGGAGAGTGGTGTGCACAACCCTAGACCATTGTAAGGTCCTTGCCCACAACATGCTACTTTTGATGTAACAAAACCAAATTGTTGAGGGTTACTAATGAAGTTGTTGTGCATTTTTCCTGTGTTTGCAGCAATGAAAACGTCACTTCCAATTTTCCTGTTGAGTTGTAGTAACATTTGTTCAAGTTGTGGGTTAAACAATCCTGCAGCTCTTTGAAGGTCAGGAGCACATTGTCCATTTCTGCCACGTTGGGCCAATTCTGAAGGAACACAACCCAATGGTCCTGTGCCTGTCACAAGAACTCTACGAGCTCCAAGATCATATAGCCTCTGCATGCAATTGCAACATTTATATGAAAAATTAAAATAATATTATGATCTCAACTCTCAAGTCAACACATTAAGTATTGATTAACAAATAAAATATGTTACCTGCAAAAGCTTTTGGTATTCAGAGATGAGATACTTGACATATTGAGGCAGTGGGTATTGGCGAGACCTTGCTGAATTTGGCACCAAGTAGTAGTTGTTTACGAAATCATTGCCACCACAAGTGATGAGAACCAGTGCTCGATTCACCAGACTCTTTGCCTCTGAAGCTCCAATTATAGCACTCACTCTTCTTTGGTACTCTTGAAAATACTCTAGCTGTCTATACATCCTGATTATGTTTACCTGCAAAAGTTGCATGTATGTATATATTAGATAACACACATCTGTATATAGGAACTAACAAGGAAGTAATTAATAATTAACTTACAAACTGAATTCCAGTGTCATTAAGGATTCCAATTCCAGCAGAAGCAAAATTGGCACCAACTAAGAGTCTGTTTCCATTTAATTCTGGACTCAAGTATGGCAATGTAGACTCAGCACCAAGTCGTTGACCTGAAACAATCCAAATAGTTAGATATATATGTGTGTCTATGTTAATTATTATATGCAAAAAAGTTGAAAAGTTGAATGATATATATATGGATGATAAAAATGAAACTTAACTGATAAGATCAGGAATGTTGTAGCCATTGGAGAAACGACCAGTTGGTCTATGAGTTGGAGCATAATCAATTCCATAAGGAGGAGCATCAGCACGTGCAGTTGTGGCCAAGTAATTGTTATTTCCATTATCAACTAATGAATCTCCAAATACAAAGAATGCCCTTGGCCTAGCTTCAGCCCCAGTGACAATGACCCCAATTACCAGAACTAAACTAAGAATGGCCAAAGGACCAAAAGTTGACAAGATTGCCATGTTGAAATGAATCTTTGGATGTGGGGTTTGGTATGCTACTAGCTAGCTAATTCGAGATGTGGACGGAGAATGTACAAGGATTCAAGTCTTTATATAATGAGCCTTTTCGCTCGATTTGACACAGATCTTACCAGTTTAGGAGGGCGCTTTAGTGCTCTTTAATTTAAGGTTTTATGTTCTTCTAAAATGGTTGCATTGGTCAAAAAGAAAAATAAACATAAATGCGATCGTTGGACTATTCATTCAGTTGCAACTAGAATTGGTAGATGGTAAAGTTCATTAAATTTTTTCTTGTTAATTCAAAATATTCCATTGCCGATGCGCATATTAACTGTACTGAGTGGCGTTACTTAAAACTTTGTATTAAGCAGCAATGTTTAATTATTTCGAAGTAATAAACTTGTAAACATTTTGTTCACAAAGCTGCCTCAAATATCTTACAGACGCGTGATAACCTAAAAGAAAATTGAGACCCTTTATCATAACTAATAATAAAAGGTTGTTTTCCAAACTAAGGATCAATGTAGAAAACGACCAATTAATCGTAAGGCGTATGGTGGATATGCATGTGCTAAAAAAATAAGTAACTATTGTATTGGATTTTGGGCTCCTATGCGGGGAATAGAGTTAAATATAGAATAAGTTCATCTTGTCTCATTTAATCAGGTGAAGAGGGGTCACATTAGGATACAGAGAAAGTATCTCATTTTGAGAAAATAGTAGCAAAATATAAAGAGAAGAAAAGAGAGAAAGTTACGGGTCACATATCCACCGAATAGTATTTATTGAATTGTAATTGGAGATATGTTTTACTAATAAGTGTCAATTGTGTCTAAAAAAAATATTAAATTAGGATACTTATCTAGCATAATTTTTTTTAAAAGAATGATGAAATTATTGTAAATATAAATAGAATCAAAAAGGATTTTCAAATGAAGTGATTTTTATGGAGTGATGATTTTTGTGACCAATTGCTTCTTTGTCTTGCAGATTTTGGAGATTGGAACAAGAAAAAGTCTCTGGGAGCAAACGGCTCAACCCTTTTAGGGGACTAAGCATTTTTAAGGCAGAGAACAGTACAAGTAGAATATAGGCAAAAGGGCTAAGCGCCTCAAAAGGGCCGAGCGGTTTGGTCAGGGAAGAAGGAGCAGTCTCGGCCTCCAAGGTGCTCAGTGCTCATAAAGGGCTTGGTCCTTTGGAATACTTAAGTCAAGGTTGAAGGATTCTCCCAAGCGCTCAGTGGATTAAAAGGGCTCAGCCCTTTGGATTTCTTCATGATGGATTCTCAAATCCGTTCAATTGTTCCCAAGCGCTGAGCGATTCCTTCTCTCTCCTACTTACCCTATTTTATTTTCATCACATATAAAAGGGCTGGAACTTGAAGAAAATGGGAGCAAAGTGAGAACAAAGAACAGTACATTAAATGGAACACTCTAGAGCTCGTGGAAACGAAGTTCCTAGGATCAATCTTCTTCTACCTTTCTTTTTGTTGTTTTCTTCTTGTGATCTCCTCCACTATGGAGAACTAAAACTCCTTGGTTGGGATTAAATGTTATCATCAAACTCCCGTGTATCCCTTTGATTCATATATGCTATATTTATTATTTAGTGCTAGTGATTCGGATTTTGTTCTTAAAACTTTGATAAATTGATCATTTATCTTTGATCTTGGATTTAGATTTTGGTTAGGAAACGTTTTCTAAATCTAGTTTTGAAATGAATCACCTATTAGTCTCAAAAGCTCGGAATAGTTTCAAAATTGATAGTTGCAATGAGTTCTAATTCTTAATGTGAGATATCTAACTGGATGAAGTAAGGAATCATTCATTAAGTTGGATATATCCTAGAATTTCTAATGTCAAGGAATTGCTTTAGAATGAATATAGAGAACTCAATGGTAATGAATAATAGAGTTATTTGTAAGAATATATCATTAAGAATGTATAGAAGGGAGATTGATGAAATTTAATCCCAACTTGTTAATATATATGTGTTTCTCTAAATTTAATTTGGTTCCAGAAGTTTGGTCTACTTTTGTTTATATCAAACACTTGATGTTTTTGAACATTGGAAATTAGATTCAACAAGTAGCAACTAGTATAACAAAAATCATTTCTACTTCACAAGTCCCTGATGATCGATAACCTTTTACTATATTATAGAGACTTGTGTGCACTTGCCATAAAAGCTGATGAGGTTCCACTTGTGAATCCTCAAGAACACCTTCAAATGCTTCTAGGTTCCTTGGAAGGATGGCAAGGAAGGAAGCTCCAAGAAGCACCAATGTGACCTAAACCTAACCAAACCAAGTCCAGAAGAAGAGAAGGTTATCCTAGCTCTACAAAGAGAGGAGCTTAAGGAGGGTAGAGGTAGGATAGAGTGACTTTTGGAGGGAGAGAGTTCAAGTGTGAGAAATCTCTTGCATATATCCAAAAGTGCTTACAACTCTCGGCCACTTAGAATATATAGGGAAAATTTAGGTTAAGGGAACCATGGGTTAGCCTAAGGTTAAGTGAAACATGGTTCATCCTTGTCTTTTGATTGTTTGATCCGTGGTTCATCCTTGTGTTCTTGTCACTTTTTGAGTTTAATCTTTCCTAGATCTATTTTTTGCCTAAAATTTGATGGATCTAGTTGTCATGTTGCTTGAATGATTCATCTATGCGTTTATGATCAATTGCTTTCATGAATCATGCTCCATTCTATTATGCTTTTAGGAATTTTCTGCCTATGATCTTTTTGATTTGCTTGAGTCATATTTGAAATCTTATTTGGTCATTGTGTGTTTGAGTCAATTTTATTTTGAATCCATGTCTAGAAGTAATGTGTAGTTCTTTTATTGTTCATCATTCTTAGCTATGCTTGTTTAACTTTGTGTTTTTATTTTTCATCTTGAAAATTTTTCTGGATTTGGCCAAGATCCTTATTGTCTTGTGTGCTCATAATTTTTGTTTGAATTTGAGTTCATAAACTACTACTAGTTCATTAGTTGTTTTCTTTGATTTTTGGGTTCCTATACTATAAAATGTCTTGAAATTTTTTTTTTCCTATCCGTGAGTTTGATCTTGTGTGAGAATTGTTTTCTGAAAATTTTTGTTTAAGATTCATTTTGAAATTTGAATTGTAGAGCCAAAACCGTGCACGTGCTAAACAAACAAGCAAGTACAAAAAGCATGTTGCATTTACATTGCATCTTGACCTAATTTTCTTGCCATTTGCATTTCAAATTTGAACCGGTTTTGTGCTTCAACCTAAGTGTGACCGAGAGTGTGTGTTTGCAAATTGTTTTAAAGAAAAAGGCATCTCCTAAGATAAAAAAAAAATAGAACAAAGTTTAAAAGAAAATGCAATAGCAAAGTGATTAAAACAAAATAATATAGCTAAACCTAATTACTCAAAGTAAAAGCCATGCAAGGAGATTTGTGTTGAAATTGTTCAAATTTCTTCTCGGTTATACATTGCCTCTTGTGTCTACAATTTTTTTTTCAGCTTACATATTTTGAGTGCTTTGGTTTTGTTAATCAATTCTAGATCTTATCTAGGTTAATTCCTTCTTGTCCTAGCCAATTCTTTGTTCTTTGTTCATCTATATTGTCTTCTCCTAAACTCTACTCTTGTCTTCTTTCACTCTCAAATCTCTTGGCTATTTATGTTCATTTTGGTACTCAAATGTGACCTAAGTTTTGACCTAGCCTATCTCCTTAGAAGCTAGTTCTACAAGGGTCATCAAAAGAGGACTAAGAAAAGGAGGAGGAAGGGACAAAGAGTGCTCTCGGATTTGGCTACCAAACTTGAAACACCAAACACTTTGTTGGCTGAAATTTTGTGGCTGCTGGACTTTCACATCCGAGGAGATACATTAGAGTTTCAATTGATTTGTAATTGAATTTAAAAAAAAAACAGAGTATTAGTGACGGATTTAGAGACCAAATCTTCCTTACTACTTTGACTTTTTGTTGCAAAATTGGTCACTAATCCCTCACTAATTTTGGTGGCTGTTTTTGACTTATCTTGAAGCCACTTGTTTACTTTGCTGTTCAGTTTGTTATTCATTGTAATTTGGCCATTTTTAGGAGTGTCTTGGGTGTGTCTTTGGTACACAACCATCTCTCCTTAGGTTTCTAATTTTCGTTAGACTTGGTGAGAGTGGTCCTTGATTGGTCTTTGGTATCTCTCAAGCTCTCACCTTAGGAAAACGTTTAGATAGTTTTATTTTTTCTTGCAATCATAGTTGTTTTAGTTGCTTTAATTTGCCTAGTTTATCTTAGTTCACAAATCACAAAAAAAATAATTTTCATTGAAAAGATTTTGGTGGAGATTAACTACAAGGAGGATTGGTAATTTTTACTTGAAGAGGCTTGGTTTTTAAGTGGCTCTTAGTAGCTCACCTCCCTCCAAAGTTCAATTTGTATACTTAGTCCTCAAAGTACTTAGTCTTAACCTTGTTAAAAAAAAAATTTCTTTCAAAACTTCTTTTATCAAAAGAAATCTTTCTCCTATAATGAAAGAATTTTCTACTCCTCAAAGTGATAGTAATTCAAGTGATTACAATGACATGGAAAAAGTAACACATGAATTAAGATCACTCAAAATTTGGAAAGAGCAAGAGTCCAAACAAAGACTCAAAGAAAAACTTGAAAGAGAGGCTCAACTTGCTCTTTTGGAGGAGGAAATTCGTTTGTTAAAGGAAAAAGAAGAAAAATTGCACAAACATCGAAGTTGATAGACTATGGCCAAGGCCAAGGAATCCAAGAGGTGATATCTTAAAAGAACCAAGAGGAATGGGATGATATTAAATACCTTTCATATGTTTGTGCTTATAGTAGTCTCTTTGTATAGGCTTATTTTTGCCTTTGTATAAGTGGTGGAGCGGTTGGAGGGTGGCAACCGGGTTGTGAGGACTGCTAGGGGGCCATCTGGGTCCAAGAAGGGCGAGAGTCAGAGGAAGCCGTATGATAGGCCCCAATCACAGCAAGGGGGTCCTGTCAGTAGGCAATCTTTTACTACTGCTAGTGGAGGTAGACAGAGTGGAGGTGCCACTCTGAGATGTTTCAGGTGTGTTGGGCCCCACTTTGTCAGGGAC